ATCAGACCACTTACACAATGCACAAACCGAGAGATAGCTGCTGGGTTTGTATCTCCTCACACAGCCCAACTTCCAATGGTGTAGAGAGAGTTTCTGTCACCGGAGTACCTGTAAGCCCAGGCATTGCAATGAATACCAGCATGCATAGGACCAGTTCTTTCTGCTTCCCTTCAGGAATCTGTTGAGTCTCTTGTGTTCCAGGGAGATCTATATAGAAGGGGTTGGAAAAATGGAAAGTGGGGTCAATAAAATTTACCAAAAGACTCTGTAACAGCTGCTGGCTGGGTTCTTTTTCTGTCCCTAGGCCTCTGGGCTCTGCTCACCACAGGCAGGTTCAGGGAGGCTTTGGCAATTCATGAGGACTTAGATAATGGGGAGTTGTGACCCTTCCCCTAGTGTGAGCACTCCACAAGCTAAGTAAAGATGTCCTTCTGTGCATTGATCTGTAGGAGCAGCCAGACCAGCGAGGAGGGGAAATTCTTGGCAGCAGTTTGTCAGGCCCAGCCCAGAGGAGAAGTGATGGGGGAGAGGGGACCACAAAAGGCACAAGGAAACCATGAGTCTTAAGGGAGGAAGTTTACCTTGCCAAAGGGTTAATGTTGCCTTAGGGGTTGCTGCTGCCCATCTTGCCATTGGTTAGAGGTGAAGATGATTAAATATTTACGGTGAACAGGTCCGTGGAGATCTGCACCATCCAACCCCTCCACGATTGAATACGATGAGCTAGGCAGGAGGCTCTGGCCAGGCCACGCTCTAGTTACCACCTAGCACTTTCCTTCAGCGTTGGGAATCCAGGGCAGGTGGAATCTGGGCAGAGAGGGGTGGCCTGTGCAGATCTGGGCCAGAGGGAAAACTCCACTCCCTTCTCGGGTCCTGCTGTAACGTTACATGCCCTGCCAGTGACCCCACCATGGGAAGAGGAGATGTTTCTCGGGCATCCTGCCCTGACAACACATTCCTTGGGGGGCTGAGTGCCCCCCATCCTGCTGCTGGCTACAGTGTGTGAAGGGGCCTCTCCTGCTGCCTCCCAGTCCCTCCCACCCCAAGCTGGATGGGGAGTCGAGACTCTCCCTCCCCTTGTGTTGAGCTACTCCCTTTTCCCCGCGGGGGGCTAGAGGGGAAGGGGCTGGTTTTGTGTGGGGTTATGGGGGTGGGGACTTGGGGGGCAAGGCTGGGGGAGGGGTGATGCTGGTGCGGGAAGGAACGAAGGGGGTCGGCGGGGGGGCCGCTCGGACGCCCACCCCGACTACAATTCCCGTCGTCCTTTGCTGCACGGTACAGTCCGAAGGGGGCGGCGCCGGGGCTGTGGCGGAGCCGGGCGCAGGGGGAGCCCCGAGGGGGGGCCGCGCCGGACCCCGCTTGGTGACTCCGGCTCGGCCTCAGCGGGCGCGTGGCGGGCGGGCCCGGCGCTGGCTCGGCGCGGAGCCGCCCGGCGCGGTGGGTCCCGGGCTGGACCCCTCGGTCTGTGGCGCGGGGCAGCCTGTCCGGTCCCATAGCCAGGAACAACCGGGGGCGGCGGGGCGGCTTGGCCTCGGTGACCCCCTGCCTCCTCCGGGCCCCCAGCTGCGCCCCCCCGCCCCGGCTGACCGCCCCCTGCCTCCTCCGGGCCCCCCAGCTGCGCCCCCCCCCGCCCCGGCTGACAGCCCCCTGGCTCCTCCGGGCCCTTAGCTGGCAGCCCTGCGTGCCCCCCCACCCCCCCGCCCCAGCTAGCAGCCTCCTGTCACTTTCAGATACAAGTGTCAGAGCCCACCCTGGGGCAGCAGGGGAAGGCTGGGCTGATGTCCCCTAGTGCTGCTCTGGGGTCAGTGAGGGAGAAGGGGGCCTGAGGCTGGCACCTTCTGTGCTGGTCTGGTATTGCCAGTGTGGTGGAATGACTGGAGGTGGACATCGGGTGACTTTGCTCTGCTTCAGTGTCTGTGTTTGATTTTCTCAGCCCCTGCAGGGAGCCCTCTCCTCATCACTAGGGTGCCTGGCACTGTAGCCTGTGAGCCCTTGTCCCTCTTTCTGCTCATGTGATCTGTGGGATCAGTTGGCACTTGGCATGTTCGGAGTGGCTCGGGGTGAGCACATTGTTTCTCTGGGTTGAGGTTTGACTGGGCCCAGCAGCGTCCTGGATGCGGGGGGGTGAGTTGACTTGAAAGGGTTTAGTCTGAGAATGGGAGATGCCCACTCCCTGGACAGCTGATGCAGGTGGCAAAGGGATCAGAGCAGTTGGGCTCCTTTTACTAGGGAGCAGCAAAAAGGCCCATAGAGTTAGGTTGGCTGTTTGGTTTTGCTTTCTGCTTTGGAGATTTCTCTGCTCACAGCCTTGGTGTGTGCTTCCTGCTGTAGCTTGCACTAGGTTAGGCAGATCAATTCCCTCTTGCTGTTGCATGTTGTGTGTGGGAAAGAAGCTAGGTGCTGTTGGCTTCCTCCTCTGAGACACTAAGTGTTCACAGAGAGATGCCTTAAACCCAAGTCAGCCTGCTCTGTGGTGGTCACTAACTGAAGCTGCAAGGGGCGCTGTATCTGGCTTCTGGTAGTAAGTGAGGTGCTGCTGCCTGTTGGTGGCTTTGCCCCATGTGGATCCTGGAGTTTGCACCCTGATGAGATTAAATTGTATAAATCAGTGGTTCTCAACCAGGGGTCCGAGGCCCCCTGCGGGGCCGTGAGCAGGTTTCAGGGTGTCAACCAAGCATAGCTGGCATCAGACTTTCTAGGGCCCAGGGCAGAAAGCCAAAGTCCCCCCGAGCCCCACCACCACCATGGGCTGAAGCTGAAGCCTGAGCAACTTAGCTTTGTGGTGCCCCTGTGGCATGGGGCCCCAGGCAGTCACCCTCCTTGCTACCCCCAATGGCAGCCCTGGCTTTTATATGCAGAAAACAGTTGTTGTGGCCCAGGTGGGCTGTGGAGTTTTTATAGCATGTTCGGGGGGCCTCAGAAAGAAAAAGGCTACGAACCCCTGGTATAAATAATGCTTTGCACTCTTTAATGGCACCCGCCAGAGGAGCGTAATGTGCTTTACTAATGTTAGTGGGGCAGTCTGAGGCAGAAAGAGCGGACGTGACTTGCCCAAGATAACACAGGGAGCCTGTGGCAGAACTGGGACTAGGCCTCAGGAGCCCTGTGCTGTAGCTGCAGCCACAGCACTGTGCAGCCTGTCCATTAGTTATTGTCATTACTGAAAGGGCAGAATGTTTATTGGGTCACAATAAGATTGCTGATTCCACCTGCTGCCCTACGCTTGGGGTGGGGAGTTTGTTTACCAAAGTTGCTTCAGGGTTGGGGAAAGGAGATGATACTCCAACTGTTAAGGAGGGAGACTGGTTCACTTGGTTGGTGCAGAAACCAGAAGCTCGACTTACAACTTGCTTGGTCCTGGGATTACGGGAGGAAGATGGGGGCTAGCTGTAGAGGTTGGGCTCATGAAGTGTGCCTGGGATGTGGGGGCTGAAGGAAAGAAGCCTACATTGGATAGGGGCTGATAGAAGCAACTAGAGCTCAGTGAGGCAAGCAAAAACCTAAATTGTCTGAGCCCCCAGAAAGTGATGAAACAGATCCTTATGGGATGGTGATGAGCTAGTGTATTCTGGGCCTGGGAAGGCTATGATTCTGGGTGAGGTGATTCTGTGGCTCAAATAAGTATCAGTAGTTTGTTTCAGGCTATCTGGGGCTTAGTTTCATTCAAGGAGACTTAGAGCACCAGTATTTTCTCTCTCGGGCGCTAAGTAGCAAGCCTGGGGTGCGCAAGCAGGTTCTCTGACCTTGGGGCTGTGCCTGATGTTGCTAACGTGCCTGTTTGTGTTATAGGGTCGGTGGGGATGGAGTGAGAGGTGACTAGCCAGGGATGAAGATGGTAGTTCAGTAGGTACAGTAGCAGCATGATGGCCCTTGAACAAGATTGGACTTGCTGAAGGAGGAGGAAAGATGGCAGGAGCTGGGGGCTCTAAGGTGGTGGTGGTGCCAGGCCTCCAGGAGTCATGATTGCAGAGCGACTGCAGAAACAGAGTCTGGAAGAGCTGAAATGCACATCCTTCAACGTCAGCCTGGTAAGATGTTTCTCTGCCTCAACCTTGCAGGTTTAGTCCATGTTGGAAATGGTATCCAGATTATTTTTAGTTGTGGGGAGGAGGGGTCCACATTCTGCATCTGTACTGAACCAAGGTCCCAGTGTGGCGTCAGTGGGCGCTGTGCTGCAAGATTTGTCAGCTTTCAGGCTAGTTGTAAAATTGGAGCCTGTGTGACCTGTGGTCACTAAACAGCACCAAGCATTTGAGAGCTTAACCTGTGGCCCCAGCTCAGGTAATCAGATTCTGCCCTCTAAATTCTCCATGCAGTTTTGGTGAGATTCAGCATTCCAATTCACTCCAGCCCTAAACTCTTGTGCAGTGCTGATTGCGCTCTTATTGAGGCTGTTGTCCCTGCCATGGAAGTGGCTGCATACCTGCTGTGTGGGCAGCAAGCCTTGGGAGGCGTTCATCTTTTTCTCTTTTGTAGAGGTCTTTGGGATCCCTTAGGATGAAAGGCAAGTTGTTATAAGGAGAAAGTATCTTCCTCTGTATTAGCAGGACTGTTATAAGGAAGACACGAAGTAATTCTTCCACTCTACTCCGCACTGATAAGGCTTCAACTGGAGTATTGTGTCCTGTTTTGAGCGCCACATTTCAGGAAAGATGTGGACAAATTGGAGAAAGTCCAGAGAAGAGCAATAAAAATGATAAAAGGTCTAGAAAACATGACCTGTGAGGGAAGATTGAAAAAAATTGGGTTTGTTTAGTCTGGAGAAGGGAAGGCATGATAACAATCTTCAAGTATGTAAAAACGGTGTTAAAAGAGGAGGGTGATAAATTGTTCTCCTTAACTACTAAGAACAGGACAAGAAGCAATGGGCTTAAATTGCATCAAGAGAGATTTA